AAAAAAAAAAAAAAAAAAAAATATGAAGAGAGTCATGTTGAGGTTTGAGCCATTGGACGAGATGGATTTGGAGGATCTCGAATATCTCGAAGGTTTGGAGAGGAGTTTGACTCCGGATGAGCTAGAGTACTTGGAGGAACTCCACGAGCGGAAAGACTTGGAAGAGAAGTGTGCCAAAGAAGCTGAGGAAGTCGAAGTCACGAACCATGGCGATGAAGGTGCGTTGAATTTTATTATCCTTGAGGACAAGGAAGGTCTTGAAGAGGAGGGGAATGATACGGAAGTGGTCATCAACCCCGGTGAATCCAGCGATGGAATGGTCGAAGATCTCGACTTGTGGTTGGAGAACATGCTCGAGGAACCTTCAAGCCCGATTTATCGACCTTCGTGCGAGAGAGATTGGCCAAGAGGATGTGGCCCAAGGTCTAAGTCAAGTAAACGCAAGAAGAGACGTAAAGCAAAGGCGCAAAAGGCAAGCCATTGTTGTGGGCCGTGTGCGAGAAATAAACGGGCATGGCGTTCAGAGGTTCGAAGACGTAGTAGGCAAAGGATGGAAGATGGTTGGATATGGCGCGCTGGGGACAGCATTGGGTTGGAAGGTTGGGACCCATGGCCATCGGGCGAGCAGCCGGAGTCGATCGGCAACAGAGATGCGAGCACGAGCGAGTGGCGCGCACCGTGCCTTGATGCGCGCGAGCATGTGGTCAGCACGCGGGCAACGTTTGGTGCACGGGAGTGCGCGATAGGTGAGCGGACCACGGACGTTGACTGGGACGCGCTGGCGTGCGGCGGCGAATGCGCGAGGCGCGATAGGCGCGCAAGTGGAGAGCACGCGGGCGAAGACCTAGGCCCTGCAGGCCTAGGAATGATAGGCGCACAGCAGCACGAGCGCGAGGAGCTCGGCGGGAACGCGGGGCGCGCGAGTGAAGGTAACGCGGGCGAAAGCCGAGGCCGAGTAAGAGTAGGCGTAGCGGGCACGGACGTGCACGCGCAAGAGGAAGGCGGCGGCCACTGGGAGCGCGCGTTGGCGCGCGATTGGGTAGCATGCGCGCGAAGCCTAGTCCGCGCAGGATTAGGCGAGGCAGAGGCCGCGGGTGCAGGCGTGCGGGTGATACGGAAGTGGTTATTAACCCAGGTGAATCAAGTGATGGGATGGTTGAGGAATTCGATGTTTGGTTGGAAAATATATTGGAGGAACCATCTAGTCCGATTTACCGATCATCATGCGTAAGAGATTGGCCAAAAGGATGTGGTCTAAAGTTGAAGTTGAAGGCTAGGCAAGCTCGAAGACGACGGAAGGCAAAAGGCTAAGAAGGTGAGCCATTGTTGTGGGCCTTGTGCAAGGAAGAAGCGAGCATGGAAGATGGATGCTAAAAAGCGTGGTAAGCAAAGGATGGAAGATGGTTGGATATGGCGTGCTGGAAATTGCATTGGGTTGGAAGGATGGGACCCATGGGATGAGCCACGACCATCGGGCCAGCCGGCGGAAGCGAACGGCAACAAAGGGGTCGACGGAGATTGGCTAATGGGCGAATGGCGCGCATCGGCCCATGATGCGCGCGGTTGGACGGAGCAGGATACACGAGCAGCAGTCGCGATGGGGTGCGCCGTAGGCGATTGGGGCGCGGGCGTCACGCGGAGAACAGACGGGGCGCGCTGGGCGCGCGAGTGGCGAGGACGCAGGCAACGGCCTAGGCCTTGTAGGCCTAGGACTGGCGGGAGTATACGGGACGCGCGGGGAAGCCAGCTGGGACGGGGCGCGCGCACAGGCACGCGAGTGGGACAATGACGCGGACGGCCTAAGGCGTGAAGGAATAGGCATGGCTGGCGGTGCGCTGGCAGGGGAAGATCGCGTCCGCGTAGGCGAAGGAGTACTGGGCGACGGCACACACGCGCGGGAGGATGGAAGCGATGATGAGGCGTGCGCCATAGCGCGCGAGTGGGCAGCAGGCGCGCGAGACCTAGTCATCGAAGGACTAGGCGAGGCGGGTGCGGCGTGCGCGTGAGAACCAGATGAGGCGCGCGATACCTCGCGCGCCAAGGATTAGGCATGCTAAGGGCGGCGCGCTCGTACAAAGGCGGCCGAAGGTTCTAGGGGCGCAAGACTTGGACATCAAGCTTCTTGGAGTGCAAGTCAAGCAATTAGTAGTTATAGTAATATTAGGATTTTATTACCATGTTGCTTTTCATTCTGGAATTAGGAGATCTAGTATAGTTAGGCTTAGATTTAATTTATGCATCTATAAATACCCATGTACCTCTTCATTATTAAAGATCCAGAAAATTGATGAGTGAATAGAAAAAGGGAACTTGGTGTTCTAACGTGTGTTAAGCAAGGTCGTAGTGCGTGTTTACATACAAGTGTCGGAGATAAGGCCATTAGTGCGTCTTGAAGTAACAGTGTCTAAGAGAAGGCCTGAGTGCGTCTGTTAGTCACACCTATCGTGTGTAGTCGAAGGCCCTGAGTGCGCGATTACTCACAACCGAAATAGACAAAAACCGCGATCCCTCATCAGCGGGACACGGCGCGCGATTCCGCGCGCGACAAGGAGTAAGGGCCGAAGGGCGGCTAGGGTTGGCGTGCGCGGCTGTGAGGCGGCCGGAGGTTTTTGGGGCGCATGACTTGGAGTTCAAGAAAATTGGAGTGCAAGTCAAGCAAGAATAATTATAGTAGTATTAGGATTTTATTACCATGTTGTTTTCATTATAGAATTAGGAGATCTAATTAGCTTAGGCTTAGATTTATTTTATGCACCTATAAATAGGGGTATCCCCTCATTGTTCTGGGAGTCTTGGAATTGATGAGTGAATAGAAAAGGAACGTTTGTTCAAACCGTGTGTTACGATTCGTGAGAGTTTGATCATGCAATCGAATTAGTGAGGCTAAGACCCGAGCTAGCTCAAAATCGAGGGAGTGAGGCTAATTACCGAGTGAACTCAAGTATCGTGAGAGAGTTAGGCTAATAACCGAGTCGACCACACCTATCAGTCGAGGGCGAGCTGTGGCGAGGCTTGGTTCGAGGCGAGTCAAGTGGAACAAAACACACGATCCTTCATCACGGATGTGTACTATATCCCGCAGTTGCGTTCAAACATCATCAGCATCGGGCAACTGGACGAGCATGGCTGCGAGGTGCTTGTTAAAGGCGGAGTGCTAAAGCTCAGGGACCGAGAACAGCGGCTGCTGTCCATGGTCCAGCGTTCCCAGAACCGCCTCGACTTGAAAGTGGAGCAGTCGGTGTGCTTGGCGGTACGGCACACCGAGGAGCCATGGCTATGGCATGCTCGATTCGGCCATTTGAGCTTCGACGCACTCGGCCGGCTGAGGAAGATGTTGCGCGAGCTCCCGCACATCGAGCATGCAGGCGAGCTGTGTGACAGCTGCCTGGCAGGAAAGCAAAGGCGGTTGCCTTTCCCCAAGGCGACCAAGTATTGTGCGGCGAACGTCCTCGAGCTCGTCCACGGCGACCTCTGCGGGCCGGTCACGCTTGTTACGCATTGCGGACGACGCTACTTCCTACTGCTCGTGGACGACTGTAGCCGTTTCATGTGGTTGCAGCTCTTAACGAGTAAGGATCAGGCGGTGGAGGCAATCAAGCGGTTCTAGGCGCGGGCTGAGGCAGAGTCCGGGAAGCGGCAGCGCGTACTGAGGACGGATCGTGGTGGCGAGTTCACATCCCTGGAATTCGCCGCGTATTGTGCAAACCAAGGGTGGTGCGCCATCACACTGCGCCGTACTCACCCCAATAGAACGGCGTAGTGGAGCGGCGGAATCAGACTGTGGTGGACATGGCCCGAAGTATGATTAAGGCAAAAGGCATGCCACGGAGTTCTGGGGAGATGCTGTGAGCACGGCGGTGTTCATC